GCTGGTTTCCATTTTGTCATAGGTTGCTGGCAGATTACAGGCCTCCCATAGGTGCTGCCAGGCCCCAAATCTGCCATGGGCCCCCGTACCGCCCTGGTCACGCTGCTGCTGGGTCCCACAGTGTGACATGGGTCCCTGTACCGCCTCCCCATTGCTCCCACTCTGCCATGTGCCACTTTCAGGTCTCCTCACACTCCTCCTGCTGGTTTCCATTTTGTCATAGGTTGCTGGCAGATTACAGGCCTCCCATAGGTGCTGCCAGGCCCCTAAATCTGCCATGGGCCCCCGTACCCCGCCTCGTCACGCTGCTGCTGGGTCCACAGTGTGACATGGGTCCCTGTACCCGCCTCCCATTGCTTCCCACTCTGCCATGTGCCACTTTCAGGTCTCCTCACACTCCTGCTGGTTTCCATTTTGTCATAGGTTGCTGGCAGATTACAGGCCTCCCATAGGTGCTGCCAGGCCCCAAATCTGCCATGGGGGCCCCCGTACCCGCCTGGTCACGCTGCTGCTGGGTCCACAGTGTGACATGGGTCCCTGTACCGCCTCCCATTGCTGCTACCCACTCTGCCATGTGCCACTTTCAGGTCTCCTCACACTCCTGCTGTTTTCCATTTTGTCATAGGTTGCTGGCAGATTACAGGCCTCCCATAGGTGCTGCCAGGCCCCAAATCTGCCATGGGCCCCCGTACCGCCTGGTCACCACGCTGCTGCTGCTGGGTCCCACAGTGTGACATGGGTCCCTGTACCGCCTCCCATTGCTCCCACTCTCTGCCATGTGCCACTTTCAGGTCTCCTCACACTCCTGCTGTTTTCCCATTTTGTCATAGGTTGCTGGCAGATTACAGGCCTCCCATAGGTGCTGCCAGGCCCCAAATCTGCCATGGGCCCCCGTACCGTTACCAGGCCTGGTCACGCTGCTGCTGGGTCCACAGTGTGACATGGGTACCCCCTGTACCGCCTCCATTGCTCCCACTCTGCCATGTGCCACTTTCAGGTCTCCTCACACTCCTGCTGGTTTCCATTTTGTCATAGGTTGCTGGCAGATTACAGGCCTCCCATAGGTGCTGCCAGGCCCCAAATCTGCCATGGGCCCCCGTACCGCCTGGTCACGCTGCTGCTGGGTCCACAGTGTGACATGGGTCCCTGTACCGCCTCCCATTGCTCCCACTCTCCATGTGCATGTGCCACTTTCAGGTCTCCTCACACTCCTGCTGGTTTCCATTTTGTCATAGGTTGCTGGCAGATTACAGGCCTCCCATAGGTGCTGCCAGGCCCCAAATCTGCCATGGGCCCCCGTACCGATACCCGCCTGGTCACGCTGCTGCTGGGTCCACAGTGTGTCATGGGTCCCTGTACCGCCTCCCATTGCTCCCACTCGCCTGCCATGTGCCACTTTCAGGTCTCCTCACACTCCTGCTGGTTTCCATTTTGTCATAGGTTGCTGGCAGATTACAGGCCTCCCATAGGTGCTGCCAGGCCCCAAATCTGCCATGGGCCCCCGTACCGCCTGGTCACGCTGCTGCTGCTGGGTCCACAGTGTGACATGGGTCCCTGTACCCGCCTCCCATTGCTCCCACTCTGCCATGTGCCACTTTCAGGTCTCCTCACACTCCTGCTGGTTTCCATTTTGTCATAGGTTGCTGGCAGATTACAGGCCTCCCATAGGTGCTGCCAGGCCCCAAATCTGCCATGGGCCCCCGTACCGCCTGGTCACGCTGCTGCTAGGGTCCACAGTGTGACATGGGTCCCTGTACCGCCTCCCATTGCTCCCACGCCACACTCTGCCATGTGCCACTTTCAGGTCTCCTCACACTCCTGCTGGTTTTCCATTTTTGTCATAGGTTGCTGGCAGATTACAGGCCTCCCATAGTGCGCGGGGCTGCCAGGCCCCAAATCTGCCATGGGCCCCCGTACCGCCTGGTCACGCTGCTGCTGCTGGGTCCACAGTGTGACATGGGTCCCTGTACCGCCTCCCATTGCTCCCACTCTGCCATGTGCCACTTTCAGGTCTCCTCACACTCCTGCTGGTTTCCATTTTGTCATAGGTTGCTGGCAGATTACAGGCCTCCCATAGGTGCTGCCAGGCCCCCAAAATCTGCCATGGGCCCCCGTACCGCCTGGTCACGCTGCTGCTGGGTCCACAGTGTGACATGGGTCCCTGTACCGCCTCCCATTGCTCCACACTCTGCCATGTGCCACTTTCAGGTCTCCTCACACTCCTGCTGGTTTCCATTTTGTCATAGGTTGCTGGCAGATTACAGGCCTCCCATAGGTGCTGCCAGGCCCCAAATCTGCCATGGGCCCCCGTACCCGCCTGGTCACGCTGCTGCTGCTGGTCCACAGTGTGTCATGGGTCCCTGTACCGCCTCCCATTGCTCCCACTCGCCACCACTCTGCCATGTGCCACTTTCAGGTCTCCTCACACTCCTGCTGGTTTCCATTTTGTCATAGGTTGCTGGCAGATTACAGGCCTCCCATAGGTGCTGCCAGGCCCCAAATCTGCCATGGGCCCCCGTACCGCCTGGTCACGCTGCTGCTGGGTCCACAGTGTGTCATGGGTCCCTGTACCGAACCGCCTCCCATTGTTTCTGTTTCCATCGCCCACTCTGCCATGTGCCACTTTCAGGTCTCCTCACACTCCTGCTGGTTTCCATTTTGTCATAGGTTGCTGGCAGATTACAGGCCTTCTCCCATAGGTGCTGCCAGGCCCCAAATCTGCCATGGGCCCCCGTACCGCCTGGTCACGCTGCTGCTGGGTCCACAGTGTGACATGGGTCCCTGTACCGCCTCCATTGCTCCCACTCTGCCATGTGCCACTTTCAGGTCTCCTCACACTCCTGCTGGTTTCCATTTTGTCATAGGTTGCTGGCAGATTACAGGCCTCCCATAGGTAGTGCTGCCAGGCCCCAAATCTGCCATGGGCCCCCGTACCGCCTGGTCACGCTGCTGCTGCTGGGTCCACAGTGTGACATGGGTCCCTGTACCGCCTCCCATTGCTCCCACTCTGCCATGTGCCACTTTCAGGTCTCCTCACACTCCTGCTGGTTTTCCATTTTGTCATAGGTTGCTGGCAGATTACAGGCCTCCCATAGGTGCTGCCCAGGGCCCCAAATCTGCCATGGGCCCCCGTACCGCCTGGTCACGCTGCTGCTGGGTCCACAGTGTGTCATGGGTCCCTGTACCGCCATTGCCTGGTTTGCATCGCCCACTCTGCCATGTGCCACTTTTCAGGTCTCCTCACACTCCTGCTGTTTTCCATTTTGTCATAGGTTGCTGGCAGATTACAGGCCTCCCATAGGTGCTGCCAGGCCCCAAATCTGCCATGGGCCCCCGTACCGCCTGGTCACGCTGCTGCTGGCTGGGTCCACAGTGTGTCATGGGTCCCTGTGTACCGCCTCCCATTGCTGCTGTTTCCATCCCCACACTCTGCCATGTGCCACTTTCAGGTCTCCTCACACTCCTGCTGGTTTCCATTTTGTCATAGGTTGCTGGCAGATTACAGGCCTCCCATAGGTGCTGCCAGGCCCCAAATCTGCCATGGGCCCCCGTACCGCCTGGTCACTACCGCTGCTGCTGGGTCCACAGTGTGACATGGGTCCCTGTACCGCCTCCCATTGTCTCCTCCCACTCTGCCATGTGCCACTTTCAGGTCTCCTCACACTCCTGCTGGTTTCCATTTTGTCATAGGTTGCTGGCAGATTACAGGCCTCCCATAGGTGCTGCCAGGCCCCAAATCTGCCATGGGCCCCCCCGTACCTGCCCTGGTCACGCTGCTGCTGGGTCCACAGTGTGTCATGGGTCCCTGTACCGCCTCCCATTGCTGCTGTTTTCCATCTGCCTCCCACTCTGCCATGTGCCACTTTCAGGTCTCCTCACACTCCTGCTGTTTTCCATTTTGTCATAGGTTGCTGGCAGATTACAGGCCTCCCATAGGTGCTGCCAGGCCCCAAATCTGCCATGGGCCCCCGTACCGCCATGGTCACGCTGCTGCTGCTGGGTCCACAGTGTGACATGGGTCCCTGTACCGCCTCCCGCCTCCCATTGCTCCCACTCTGCCATGTGCCACTTTGAGGTCTCCTCACACTCCTGCTGGTTTCCATTTTGTCATAGGTTGCTGGCAGATTACAGGCCTCCCATAGGTGCTGCCAGGCCCCAAATCTGCCATGGGCCCCCGTACCGCCTGGTCACGCTGCTGCTGGGTCCACAGTGTGACATGGGTCCCTGTACCGCCTCCCATTGCTCCCACTCTGCCATGTGCCACTTTCAGGTCTCCTCACACTCCTGCTGGTTTCCATTTTGTCATAGGTTGCTGGCAGATTACAGGCCTCCCATAGGTGCTGCCAGCCCCAAATCTGCCATGGGCCCCCGTACCGCCTGGTGGTCACGCTGCTGCTGCTGGGTCCACAGTGTGACATGGTCCCTGTACCGCCGCCTCCCATTGCTCCCACTCTGCCATGTGCCACTTTCAGGTCTCCTCACACTCCTGCTGGTTTTCCATTTTGTCATAGGTTGCTGGCAGATTACAGGCCTCCCATAGGTGCTGCCAGGCCCCAAATCTGCCATGGGCCCCCGTACCCGCCTGGTCACGCTGCTGCTGGGTCCACAGTGTGTGACATGGGTCCCCTGTACCGCCTCCCATTGCCTCCCATTGCTCCCACTCTGCCATGTGCCACTTTCAGGTCTCCTCACACACTCCTGCTGGGTTTCCATTTTGTCATAGGTTGCTGGCAGATTACAGGCCTCCCATAGGTGCTGCCAGGCCCCAAATCTGCCATGGGCCCCCCGTACCCGCCTGGTCACGCTGCTGCTGGGTCCACAGTGTGACATGGGTCCCTGTACCGCCTCCCATGCTTGCTCCCACTCTGCCATGTGCCACTTTTCAGGTCTCCTCACACTCCTGCTGGTTTTCCATTTTGTCATAGGTTGCTGGCAGATTACAGGCCTCCCATAGGTGCTGCCAGGCCCCCCAAATCTGCCATGGGCCCCCGTACCGCCTGGTCACGCTGCTGCTGGGTCCACAGTGTGTCATGGGTCCCTGTACCGCCTCCCATTCCTCCTCCACACTCTGCCATGTGCCACTTTTCAGGTCTCCTCACACTCCTGCTGGTTTCCATTTTGTCATAGGTTGCTGGCAGATTACAGGCCTCCCATAGGTGCTGCCAGGCCCCAAATCTGCCATGGGCCCCCCGTACCGCCTGGTCACGCTGCTGCTGGGTCCACAGTGTGACATGGGTCCCTGTACCGCCTCCCATTGCTCCCACTCTGCCATGTGCCACTTTCAGGTCTCCTCACACTCCTGCTGGTTTCCATTTTGTCATAGGTTGCTGGCAGATTACAGGCCTCCCATAGGTGCTGCCAGGCCCCAAATCTGCCATGGGCCCCCCTACCGCCTGGGTCACGCTGCTGGCTGCTGGGTCCACAGTGTGACATGGGTCCCTGTACCGCCTCCCATTGCTCCCACACTCTGCCATGTGCCACTTTCAGGTCTCCTCACACTCCTGCTGGTTTCCATTTTGTCATAGGTTGCTGGCAGATTACAGGCCTCCCATAGGTGCTGCCAGGCCCCAAATCTGCCATGGGCCCCCGTACCGCCTGTCTCACGCTGCTGCTGGGTCCACAGTGTGTCATGGGTCCCTGTACCGCCTCCCATTGCTCCCACTCTCTGCCATGTGCCACTTTCAGGTCTCCTCACACTCCTGCTGGTTTCCATTTTGTCATAGGTTGCTGGCAGATTACAGGCCTCCCATAGGTGCTGCCAGGCCCCAAATCTGCCATGGGCCCCCGTACCGCCTGGTCACGCTGCTGCTGGGTCCACAGTGTGACATGGGTCCCTGTACCCGCCTCCCATTGCTCCCACTCTGCCATGTGCCACTTTCATGTGCCACTTTCAGGTCTCCTCACACTCCTGCTGGTTTCCATTTTGTCATAGGTTGCTGGCAGATTACAGGCCTCCCATAGGTGCTGCCAGGCCCCAAATCTGCCATGGGCCCCCGTACCGCCTGGTCACGCTGCTGCTGGGTTCCCACAGTGTGACATGGGTCCCTGTACGGCCTCCCATTGCTTGCATCGCCCCACTCTGCCATGTGCCACTTTCAGGTCTCCTCACACTCCTGCTGGTTTCCATTTTTTTGTCATAGGTTGCTGGCAGATTACAGGCCTCCCATAGGTGCTGCCAGGCCCCAAATCTGCCATGGGCCCCCGTACCGCCTGGTCACGCTGCTGCTGGGTCCACAGTGTGTCATGGGTCCCTGTACCGCCTCCCATTTGCTGCTGTCTCCTCCCACTCTGCCATGTGCCACTTTCAGGTCTCCTCACACTCTGCTGGGGTTTTCCATTTTGTCATAGGTTGCTGGCAGATTACAGGCCTCCCATAGGTGCTGCCAGGCCCCAAATCTGCCATGGGCCCCCGTACCGCCTGGTCACGCTGCTGCTGGGTCCACAGTGTGACATGGGTCCCTGTACCGCCGTCCTCCCATTGCTCCCACTCTGCCATGTGCCACTTTCAGGTCTCCTCACACTCCTGCTGGTTTCCATTTTGTCATAGGTTGCTGGCAGATTACAGGCCTCCCATAGGTGCTGCCAGGCCCCAAATCTGCCATGGGCCCCCGTACCGCCTGGTCACGCTGCTGCTGGGTCCACAGTGTGACATGGGTCCCTGTACCGCCTCCCATTGCTCCCACTCTGCCATGTGCCACTTTCAGGTCTCCTCACACTCCTGCTGGTTTTCCATTTTTTGTCATAGGTTGCTGGCAGATTACAGGCCTCCCATATAGCTGCTGCCAGGCCCCAAATCTGCCATGGGCCCCCGTACCGCCTCGTCACGCTGCTGCTGCTGGGTCCACAGTGTGTCATGGGTCCCTGTACCGCCTCCCATTGCTGCTGTTTCCATCGCCACACTCTGCCATGTGCCACTTTCAGGTCTCCTCACACTCCTGCTGTTTCCATTTTGTCATAGGTTGCTGGCAGATTACAGGCCTCCCATAGGTGCTGCCAGGCCCCAAATCTGCCATGGGCCCCCGTACCTCGCCTGGTCACAGGTCTGCTGCTAGCTGGGTCCACAGTGTGACATGGGTCCCCCATGTACCGCCTCCCATTGCTCCCACTCTGCCATGTGCCACTTTCAGGTCTCCTCACACTCCTGCTGGTTTCCATTTTGTCATAGGTTGCTGGCAGATTACAGGGCCTCCCATAGGTGCTGCCAGGCCCCAAATCTGCCATGGGCCCCCGTACCGCCTCCTCACTGCTGCTGCTGGGTCCACAGTGTGACATGGGTCCCTGTACCCCCTGTACGCCTCCCATTGCTCCCACTCTGCCATGTGCCACTTTCAGGTCTCCTCACACTCCTGCTGGTTTCCATTTTGTCATAGGTTGCTGGCAGATTACAGGCCTCCCATAGGTGCTGCCAGGCCCCCAAATCTGCCATGGGCCCCCGTACCGCCTGGTCACGCGCTGCTTGCTGGGTCCACAGTGTGTCATGGGTCCCTGTACCGCCTCCCATCCCATTGCTGCTGCTGCTTTCCATCGCCACACTCTGCCATGTGCCACTTTCAGGTCTCCTCACACTCCTCCTGCTGGTTTCCATTTTGTCATAGGTTGCTGGCAGATTACAGGCCTCCCATAGGTGCTGCCAGGCCCCAAATCTGCCATGGGCCCCCGTACCGCCTGGTCACCTGCTGCTGCTGGGTCCACAGTGTGACATGGGTCCCTGTACCGCCTCCCCATTGCTCCCACTCTGCCATGTGCCACTTTCAGGTCTCCTCACACTCCTGCTGGTTTCCATTTTTGTCATAGGGTTGCTGGCAGATTACAGGCCTCCCATAGGTGCTGCCAGGCCCCAAATCTGCCATGGGCCCCCGTACCGCCTGGTCACGCTGCTGCTGGGTCCACAGTGTGACATGGGTCCCTGTACCGCCTCCCATTGCTGCTCCCATTCTCCCACTCTGCCATGTGCCACTTTCAGGTCTCCTCACACTCCTGCTGGTTTCCATTTTGTCATAGGTTGCTGGCAGATTACAGGGCCTCCCATAGGTGCTGCCAGGCCCCAAATCTGCCATGGGCCCCCGTACCGCCTGGTCACGCTGCTGCTGGGTCCACAGTGTGTCATGGGTCCCTGTACCGCCTCCCATTTGCCTGTTTCCATCTCCCACTCTGCCATGTGCCACTTTCAGGTCTCCTCACACTCCTGCTGTTTTCCATTTTGTCATAGGTTGCTGGCAGATTACAGGCCTCCCATAGGTGCTGCCAGGCCCCAAATCTGCCATGGGCCCCCGTACCGCATGGTCACGCTGCTGCTGGGTCCACAGTGTGACATGGGTCCCTGTACCGCCTCCCATTGCTCCCACTCTGCCATGTGCCACTTTGAGGTCTCCTCACACTCCTGCTGTTTCCATTTTGTCATAGGTTGCTGGCAGATTACAGGCCTCCCATAGGTGCTGCCAGGCCCCAAATCTGCCATGGGCCCCCGTACCGCCTGGTCACGCTGCTGCTGGGTCCACAGTGTGACATGGGTCCCTGTACCGCCTCCCATTGCTCCCACTCTGCCATGTGCCACTTTCAGGTCTCCTCACACTCCTGCTGGTTTCCATTTTGTCATAGGTTGCTGGCAGATTACAGGCCTCCCATAGGTGCTGCCAGGCCCCAAATCTGCCATGGGCCCCCGTACCGCCTGGTCACGCTGCTGCTGGGTCCACAGTGTGACATGGGTCCCTGTACCGCCTCCCATTGCTCGCCACCACTCTGCCATGTGTGCCACTTCAGGATGTCTCCTCACACTCCTGCTGGTTTTCCATTTTGTCATAGGTTGCTGGCAGATTACAGGCCTCCCATAGGTGCTGCCAGGCCCCAAATCTGCCATGGGCCCCCCGTACCGCCTGGTCACGCTGCTGCTGGGTCCACAGTGTGACATGGGTCCCTGTACCGCCTCCCATTGCTCCCACTCTGCCATGTGCCACTTTGAGGTCTCCTCACACTCCTGCTGGTTTCCATTTTGTCATAGGTTGCTGGCAGATTACAGGCCTCCCATAGGTGCTGCCAGGCCCCAAATCTGCCAATGGGCCCCCGTACCGCCTGGTCACGCTGCTGCTGGGTCCACAGTGTGACATGGGTCCCTGTACCGCCTCCCATTGCTCCCACTCTGCCATGTGCCACTTTCAGGTCTCCTCACACTCCTGCTGGTTTCCATTTTGTCATAGGTTGCTGGCAGATTACAGGCCTCCCATAGGTGCTGCCAGGCCCCAAATCTGCCATGGCCCCCGTACCGCCTGGTCACGCTGCTGCTGGGTCCACAGTGTGTCATGGGTCCCTGTACCGCCTCCCATTGTTGCTGTTTCCATCGCCACACTCTGCCATGTGCCACTTTCAGGTCTCCTCACACTCCTGCTGGTTTCCATTTTGTCATAGGTTGCTGGCAGATTACAGGCCTCCCATAGGTGCTGCCAGGCCCCAAATCTGCCATGGGCCCCCGTACCGCCTGGTCACGCTGCTGCTGGGTCCACAGTGTGACATGGGTCCCTGTACCGCCTCCCATTGCTCCCACTCTGCCATGTGCCACTTTCAGGTCTCCTCACACTCCTGCTGGTTTCCATTTTGTCATAGGTTGCTGGCAGATTACAGGCCTCCCATAGGTGCTGCCAGGCCCCAAATCTGCCATGGGCCCCCGTACCGCCTGGTCACGCTGCTGCTGGGTCCACAGTGTGACATGGGTCCCTGTACCGCCTCCCATTGCTGTTTCCCACTCTGCCATGTGCCACTTTCAGGTCTCCTCACACTCCTGCTGGTTTCCATTTTGTCATAGGTTGCTGGCAGATTACAGGCCTCCCATAGGTGCTGCCAGGCCCCAAATCTGCCATGGGCCCCCGTACCGCCTGGTCACGCTGCTGCTGGGTCCACAGTGTGTCATGGGTCCCTGTACCGCCTCCCATTGCTGCTGTTTCCATCGCCACACTCTGCCATGTGCCACTTTCAGGTCTCCTCACACTCCTGCTGTTTTCCATTTTGTCATAGGTTGCTGGCAGATTACAGGCCTCCCATAGGTGCTGCCAGGCCCCAAATCTGCCATGGGCCCCCGTACCGCCTGGTCACGCTGCTGCTGGGTCCACAGTGTGACATGGGTCCCTGTACCGCCTCCCATTGCTCCCACTCTGCCATGTGCCACTTTCAGGTCTCCTCACACTCCTGCTGGTTTCCATTTTGTCATAGGTTGCTGGCAGATTACAGGCCTCCCATAGGTGCTGCCAGGCCCCAAATCTGCCATGGGCCCCCGTACCACCTGGTCACGCTGCTGCTGCTGGGTCCACAGTGTGACATGGGTCCCTGTACCGCCTCCCATTGCTCCCACTCTGCCATGTGCCACTTTCAGGTCTCCTCACACTCCTGCTGGTTTCCATTTTGTCATAGGTTTGCAGATGTATGGCCTCCCATTGCTGCTGCCCCCACCGCCACACTGTGGCTCCAAACACTGGTTTTGGTCCCCGCTGCTGCTGGGCCAACAGAGTGACATGGGTGCCTGTGATTCTAAGATCGACGGCACTCATCTGCATGTCATACTGACTTCAGTATTATTTCTCTCCCCAGCTGTTTTCCATTTTGGGCATTTAAATTAAGGCCTCCCACAGTGTTCTGCACTAATATTTAAGTGGGCCCCTCGTGAAGCCTAGAAACACGCTTTTTTAAGCTTAAATTCACAGCGAATATACATGGGTCTCGAACCGCCTCCATATTTTCCACGAATTCTGCCGAATCAGTCGAATCGAATTTTTGAATACTCGCTCATCTCTAGTTATCACTGCTGGAATGCAAATATCCCCTGTCATAGGTTAACTTCAATGGGCATTGACATAGGTTCTTTTTTGAGGAAATCTGGGGTCTAGATACCGCCTGGTCTCTGCCCTTACATTATCTAATCTCAACAGATCGGTGTGATCAGATGCTTTCCCAATTTACAAACTCATGCTGGTTTCCATTTTTGTCATGACGCTGTTTGCATAGAGATGATTGGCTCACATTCCGGTCTCCATTTAGCTCTATGGTCATCTAGCAGAAACCACCGGCTGCATTCTCAGGTTCCCCCAAATGCCAGGGGCCCCGTGCCCGAGAAGGCTGCTGCTGGAAGGCAGCAGGGGCATGGGGTACCATCTTCATTCTGCCCCGTTGCCACTTTTTAAAACAGCAATCCTGCATTTTTTCATAGGTTAGCCACTAGGATTGCTTTTACATGAAAGCAGTTCGCCGGCGGAAAAAAACGCCTACCAGAATGATGCCAGGAATTTTAGGAAAGATCCACTTCATCAGTTGCTTTGTGAAGCACAAAAGCCATTATATAGAGCCAATTGAAATAAATAAACAGGACACTTTTTTGTACCATTCTGGCTTTACGGGAAACTAAATACGGCTTCATCATCTGCTGTCATTGAAGTCCACCCCTCCCATGTTAAGATTATAGTCATGGACACAGAGTGCCATGGGCTTCTCAACAACACAGCTGCCGTGACAATTCAGGTTTCCATCGCCACACTCTGCCATGCCACTTTCAGTCTCCTATCTCCTCCTCAAACTCCTGCTGTGTCTGTGTGAATGGAACAGAGAATGAAAACATCCCATTTGTCCTTCCACTTCACTGCAAGCCAATTCCTACCGCCTGGTCAGCTGGTGGGTTTTCCCCCTTTTACAAGCCATTCGGGGAAGCCCCGGCAATTAGGTTGCACGGTGCCACATGCGCTAGTGCCACAAGATTGTACAAATCTCTAAATAGTGGCACTGCTGGTGAATAAAATTTTGTCATATATAAGTGGTACCCCATATGGAAAAAGGATGACACCAAGTCCCAAACTATCTTGTCACTGCTCCCCATGGGCCCCCGTACCTGGGCATCCGGGGGGCTCCACGTGACTATCTTTTTCCTCGTAAATCCCATAGCCTGTTGCCCTCTCACAGGTCTTGTACATCTTGACCCCATATCTAGCACGCATGCAGGGGAGAAATTGTTTGGATGCAAGGCAGCCATAAAAATTGATGTGTGGACTCATCGATACAGATGTTTTGCTGGGGAGTATAGATAGCTGCACATTTTTGGTTCAGGTGATTTATTTGGGGCCAAAAATTTTGGGAGCCAGTCAAATTAGGGTCACCCGAGAATGACAGTGTATTATCATTGAAATGCATAATACGCATTATACTCTCATATCTATGCTGGCCATGTCAGCAGAGAACACAGGCATATGATGGTCTGTGAACCAATACACCACAATTCTTTTTTTAGTAATACCCATGTTGAGGGTTAGGCCCAAAAAAAACGTTAAATTCAGCCCCAAATCATAATGGGTTTCCTTGCAAATGGTCTGGCAAGGTTTGGGTTGGCGGCGATAAACTGTTGTGCATATAAATTGCTTTGATCCACAATCAATGCATACAGATCTTGCGTAAAAAACAGCTCTAAATGGCCTAAATCGGATGATTGATCCCTTGGAGATCAAATCACGGCATCTGTCTCCTCACACTCCTGGCGGGTCAGAGGGGGTGCACGCCCCCTGGCCTGCGAACACCGTGGGAGCGCAAATCACGTATATATACATGATTTTGTGCACAGTGTGCTGCCCTGTAGCAGCATTTCTGCTATAGGGCCATTGGGAAGCGGTTAATCTGCGTTTTTAATCTGACCAGCAACAAGTTGATCAAAATAAAAAATACAAAATGCATCAAAAAACGCACCAAGAACACACATACAAAAATACAAAACGCTGCACTGCAAAAAGCACGGCAAAACGGACAAAGCACAAACTATGTTGGTGTGAACCAGGCCTGAAATGCATTGAAAACAAAGAAAAAATGCTTCAAAAACACACACCTGTTATGTTTCATTTTGTGCATTTTGCGTTTTTAATCTGACCAGCAACCAGTTGGCCAGAAAAAAAATTAAAAAAAAAAACACAAAACGCAATCAAAAATGCAGAACGTACTACAAAACGGACAAAACCTAAACTGCATTGGTGTGAACCAGGCCTGAAATGAAATGAAAATGCATCAAAAATGCATCTAAAACACACATGTGCTGTGGTTTGATGAGTTTTTTGAGTCAAATGACCTATGAAAAACACACCTCAAACATGGTAAAATCACAGAAAAATCTTGGTAATAAATCATGGCAAAATTGCAGGGAAATCGTGGCAAAAGTCTGGGTAAAATGGCGGAAAATGCGACAAAATGTCAGGCAAAATCACGGGTTAAAATAGGGCTGCAAAATTACAGGTAAAATCTTCAAAATCACAGGTAAAATCGAGGTAAAATTGCAGCAAAATTCTGGGTAAAATTGCAACAAAGTTCTGGGTAAAATCACTGCATTATTCAATCTCATAAAATCGTGGGTAGAAATCACAGATGTATAATTGTGGCAAAATCAGGGGTATAAAAACGCAGCACAATTGCAGGTATCCATTTAGTAAAAGTGTGGTTAAAATCGTCGGCAGAAAAGTCACGTTTTCAGTGGCCATTATCAACACCTTTTTTCCCCTATCGGAAAAAGCCAGTAACACTCTTTTCAGGCGCAGATATATGAGTGCATCCCTAGTATGTATAGTATATACACTGTTGCTAGTGGAGGAGGTGCAGAGACTCCTAGCTGAAGCTATAGGAGGCGGGACAGACCAGAGTGTCCTGAGCTGTCTTTCTTAGCACACCTGGGTGGGAGGTACAGACCAGGAGTCTGACTCCACCCACTATGGTGAGCAGGGAGGAAATACATCACAACTTACTGGAGAAAGAGAACTACAGAGGGGCTGGGCCAGACCAGTGGCTGGGGTAATAGGAGGAATAGCAGGCACTGGTCTTACAAACAGGAAATCACAGGGGATTAACGGTTTGATTTGGAAATCATCAGCTTATTTCAGTGCAACTACTGCATGAACCAGAAGATGGAGGATATATTCAATGAAGTTGGGAGATCAGCAGCAAGGACATGGAAAAAAGTTTTTGCCTGGAGTTCTGCTTTAACTAAATGAGCATAAACATGTACTGTATATAGTGTTACTCCCGTAGGAGCTGCAGGAGTACTGTCCAGGTTCTCCCCAGTTACTTTGACCCAGAGCCAGGCACATACAGTGAGGAACAGAAGTATTTGAACACCCTGCGATTTTGCAAGTTCTCCCACTTAGGAATCATGGAGGTGTTTGACATTCACATTGTAGGTGCATTCCCACTCTGAAAGACAGAATTAAAAAAAAATTCAGGAAATCACATGTATGATTTTAAAGAATTTATTTGTCTTGCACTGCTCAACATAAGTATTTGAACACCTAAGAAACAGCAAGAATTCTGGCTCTCAAAGACCTGTTACTGTGCCTTTAAAAAGTCCACCTCTACTCCACTCATTAATCTAACTTAGTAGCACCTGTTTAAGCTCTTTAAAGATACCTGTCCACCCCACAGTCAGTCAGACGCTAACTACTACAATGGGCAAGACTAAAGAGCTGTCAAAAGACACCAGAAACAAAATTGTGGGCCTCCACAAGGCTAGAAAGAGCTACAGGGCAATTGCCAAGCAGCTTGGTGAAAATAGATCAACTGTTGGAGCAATTGTTAGAAAATGGAAGGGGCTAAAGACAACTTTCAGTCTCCCTCGGACTGAGGCTCCATGCAAGATCTCACCTCGTGGGGTATCACTGATGATAAGAAAGGTGAGGAATCAGCCCAGAACTACAAGGGAGGAGCTGGTCAATGACACAATGACATGAAGAGAGCTGGGACCACAGTTTCAAAGGTCACTGTCGGTAGAACACTACACCGTCATGGTTTCAAATCATGCATTGCACGGAAGGTTCCCCTGCTCAAGTCATCACATGTCCAGGCCCATCTGAAGTTTGCCAGTGACCATCTGGATGATCCAGAGGAGGCATGGGAGAAAGTCATGTGGCCAGATGAGACCAAAGTAGAACTTTTTGGTCTAAACTTCACTCGTGTTTGGAGGAAAAAGCATCCCAAGAACACCATCCCTACTGTGAAGCATGGGGGTGGTAACATCATGCTTTAGGGGTGCTTTTCTGCAAAGGGGACAGGATGACTGCACTGTATTAAGGAGAGGATGAATGGGGCTATTTATTGTGAGATTTTGAGCAACAACCTCCTTCCCTCAGTCAGAGCATTGAAGATGGGTCGTGGCTGGGTCTTCCAACATGACAACGACCCGAAGCACACAGCCAGGATAACCAAGGAGTGACTCCGTAAGAAGCATATCAAGGTTCTGGAGTGGCCTAGCTAGTCTCCAGACCTAAATCCAATAGAACATCTTCGGAGGAAGCTGAAACTCCGTGTTGCTCAGTGACAGCCCCGAAACCTGACAAATCTAGAGGAGATCTGTGTGGAGGAGTGGGCCAAAATCCCTGTTGCAGTGTGTGCAAACCTGGTCAAGAACTACAGGAAACGTTTGACCTCTGTAATTGCAAACAAAGGCTTCTGTACCAAATATTAACATCGATTTTCTCAGGTGTTCAAATACTTACAGGTGAAACTCGAAAAATTAGAATATCGTGCAAAAGTTCATTTATTTCAGTAATGCAACTTAAAAGGTGAAACTAATATATGAGATAGACTCATTGCATGCAAAGCAAGATAGTTCAAGCCGTGATTTGTCAAAATTGTGATGATTATGGCTTAGAGCTCATGAAAACCCAAAATCCACAATCTCAGAAAATTAGAATATTGTGAAAAGGTACAATATTCTAGGCTCAAAGTGTCCCACTCTAATCAGCTAATTAAGCCATAACACTTGCAAAGGGTTCCTGGCTTATTCACAATCATGGGAAAGACTGCTGGAAAGACAGTTGTGCAGAAAACCATCATTGACAACCTTCATAAGGAAGGAAAGCCTCAAAAGGTAATTGCAAAAGAAGTTGGATGTTCCCAAAGTGCTGTATCAAAGCACATTAATAGAAAAGTGAAAAGTGTGGAAGAAAAAGGTGCACAAGCAGCAGGGATGACTGCAGCTTGGAGAGGATTGTCAGGAAAAGACCATTCAAAAGTGTTGGGGACTTTCACAAGGAGTGGACTGAGGCTGGAGTCAGTGCATCAAGAGCCACCACACACACAGACGGATCCTGGACATGGGCTTCAAATGTCGTATTCCTCTTGTCAAGCCGCTCCTGAACAACAAACAACGTCAGAAGCGTCTTACCTGGGCTAAAGAAAAACAGACCTGGTCTGTTGCTCAGTGGTCCAAAGTCCTCTTTTCTGATGAGAGCAACTTTTGCATCTAATTTGGAAAGCAAGGATCCAGAATATGGAGGAAGAATGGAGAGGGACACACTGCAAGATGCTTGAAGTCCAGTGTGAAGGTTCCACAGGGTTGATTTGGGGCGCTATGTCATCTGCTGGTGTTGGTCCACTGTGCTTCATAAGTCCAGGGTTAACGCAGCCGTCTACCAGGAGATTTTGGAGCACTGCATGCTTCTTTCCGCACACGAGCTTTATGGGGATGCTGACTTCATTTTCCAGCAGGACTTGGCACCTGCCCACACTGCCAAAAGCACCAAAACCTGGTTCAATGACCGTGGGATTACTGTGCTTGATTGGCCAGCAAACTCGCCTGACCTGAACTCTATAGAGAATCTATGGGGCATTGCCGAGACAATGCAGAAGAGCTGAAGGCCACTATTGAAGCATCCTTATCTTCCATAACACCTCAGCAGTGCCACAGGCTGATAGCTTCCATGCCACACCGCATTGAGGCAGTAATTGCTGCAAAAGGGGCCTAAACCAAGTACTGAGCACATATGCATGCTTATACTTTTCAGAGGTCCGATATTGTTCTATGTACAATCCTTGTTTTATTGATTGCATGTAATATTATAATTTTCCGAGATTGTGGATTTGGGGTTTTCATGAGCTGTAAGCCATAATCATCACAATTATGACAAATCACGGCTTGAACTATCTTGCTTTGCATGTAATGAGTCTATCTCATATATTAGTTTCACCTTTTAAGTTGCATTACTGAAATAAATAAACTTTTGCACGATATTCTAATTTTTCGAGTTTCACCTGTATGTTCAGTAGTGCAAGACAAGTAAATTCTTTAAAAATCATACAATGTGATTTCCTGAATTTTTTTTTTTAATTCTGTCTCTCAGAGTGGGAATGCACCTACAATGTGAATTTCAGACCCCTCCATGATTTCTAAGTGGGAGAACTTGGGTGTTCAAATACTTCTGTTCCTCACTGTAGACTCCATCACTCGTTTCTCCAATCATTAGTCCAGGGGTGTTGTTTTTGTTGTTTTTTTTTTTGGACGAATTGGGATAGGGATGAGGGAGATGAGTGGGATGTTTGGAATTAGGGACTAGGAACATCAAGGACTTTATCAAATCTTCAGGACAAGCTGTATTGGATCAAACAGTGGACTTCAGCTTAAGGCAGTAGTAACAAGCGGTAGCAGCAACAGCATTAACGTCTTTACAGTTCCAGAGCAGTGTCCCTTTAGGTAGTAGTGGACAGACAGACAAAGCTTTTTGGAACACCAGCCAGTGTTCCCTTTGCTAAACCCACTGCTGACTTCCTAGCACCAGAGGGGGTTAAACGGCACACAGTCTCTATGATCCTTAAAGCGGAGTTCCACTCAAAAGCGGAAGCTCCCCGTATTTGCCTCCTCCCCCCCTCCACTGCCATACTTGGCACCTTTTGGGGGGGAGAGGGTTGCGGATACCTGTTTATGACAGGTACCCGCTCTCACTTCCGGCTCAGTTCACCGCAGCGAAGTGAGGTGGAAGTTCGATCCCCTCCTTCCTCCCACAGTCTCCTGGGAACTTTCACAGGTCCCAGGAGACTGTCAGACCAATTAGCAGCGCGACTCGCACATGCGCAGTGGGCACCAGGCTGTGAAGCCGCAAGCTGTCACAGCCTGGTGCCCACAATTGAGATGCTGGCACCATGGAGGAGAGAAGGGATGGCGCGAGTGAGCACATCGCTGGCCGCGACTGTCAATCTCCAGGTCCCAGGCTGGTGATTATTCTGCAGTGCCTGGTGATTGCTGAGGATCTCCAACGGGGGGGGGGGAGAATTGTTAGTAAACAAAACAGTTCTCCTCCCTGTCAGCTCCTGCACACTGCCATGCAAAGCAGTGTGCTTACAGTGAAGCACAAACACAGGACACAGTGTAAAACAGCACACAGTTAACCCTTTGATCGCCCCACATGTTAACCCTTTCCTGCTCAGTGCCATTAGTACAGTGTCAGTGCTTTTTATTAGCACTGATCACTGTATTGGAGTCACTGGGGATGTCAGTGACACCAACTCAGTTCCCCCCAGTGTCAGAATGTCTGCCGCAGTCCCGCGCTATAAGCCGCTGCTCGCCGTCATTACTAGTAAAAAAAAAAAAGCCCAGTATATATACCACCATTTGTAAATGCTATAACTTTCACGTAAACCAATTAATTTGCACGTATTGTCAGTTCGTTTTTTAGCAAAGACATGTAGCAGAATACATTTTGGCCTAAATTATTGACGAAATTTGATTTTTAAAATTTTTTTGCTGGAAATGTTTAATAGCAAAAAGTAAAAATATTGTTTTTATTCTATTTGTGGGAAAAAAGGACATAAATTTCATTTGGGTGCAGCATTGCATGACCGTGCAATTGTCAGCTAAAGTAACGCAGCGCCATACCACAAAAATTGGTCTGGTCAGGAAGGGGGGTAAATCCTCTGGAGGGCAAGTGATTAAAAGTCAGCAGGTACAATTTTTGCAGCTGCTGACTTTTAATAAACACAAAAACGGCTGGAACTTGGCTTTATGGATATCTGTACTCACAAGGCCCAAGAGCAGCTGGATGCCTTCCTTCATAATACCAGAGCAGGTCTGCAGGAGACAGCAATTCAGGCCCTCAGGTAGCCCACCTGAGGCCTATGGCAGCAGCTGCCTAGGAGGGCAACATGCTTAGCAAAGAAAGACCCAGAGCACCGTGTGCTCACTTAATATATACAGTTACCCAGCATGCCTTAGAGCCCCTTTCTCTTGGATTGGCTGAGACTGTATAATATTTATGATGTCATCTGCATAGTTCCACACCCATCATCCAGAAACTTCTGCAGTTTCCTGGATACAAAGGAAGCTAGGCAGACTAGCAGCACCTGAGCACACAGGACAGACCTCACTAAAAGTAATGCCCGTAGCGTAAATGACAGGAAAAAAAGTAGCGCAGGGCAGGCATGACTAGGCCTAGAGTGGGTAAGGAAGGCTAGAAAGGGTTAAGTCAGTGCAGGGGGTTTGAAAATGTATAGGTGGGAGCTGGTTGGTAGAGGGAGAACGTGGGTGGTCTCCTGGCACCTTTGGGTGGGGTGGTCTGGGTGGGGGGCGGTCATTCGGAAGCTGGACGTTGGTGAGTGAGCTTCAGTGAGCTCCCCTCACACCCTACCCACGCCAGCATCATCAGGGCCTTTTTCCTTGGGACAGTGGGCTGTTATGGATGGTCTGGTGGCCCCAGCTGCGTGAGGCGGCAGCCTCACGTGGAATAGACTGGCTGCAGAGCCGGGTCGCTGCCTTTTTGCAGGACCCGGACTTGTCCCTTGACCCGGGCTTATCGCAGGGCCCGGGCTTACTGCCGGAGGAAGAGGGGCGGGAGCGCCCACGTGCTCGGAGGTCTCGGCCTCCGGAGCGCTTCAGCCCGGACTCCCCACCCCCCAGAGCTCAGCGCCGCATCAGGAGCCCCACACGGGACCCTCCGGCCCCGCAGGCAGGGCACTCTCTGGCCTCTGCTCGCGGGGAGCCGGGAGGAATCCTCTGCTTCGGCGGAGCTCGGTGGGCGGGGTTTCGCACGGAGGAAGCCCCAACCCCCCGCCCGCACGGCAACGGAGACGGGATGGTAACGGCTCCTCCACTGGCAAGGTGCATGCCAGGGAGGGAGCCCAACGTGGGAGACGGAGCGCTGCGGCTGCCGGGCTGTCCCCTGCTGCAGTCGGCGGGCCTCCTGTACGGCATGGAGCGGCGGCTCTGAAGAGGATCCAGCAGAAGGGGCGGCTCTGGGCAGAGTGCTGAGGAGATCGTGACAGGACGGAGACCAGGGACATCGAGGGGCGTGGCTGGTGCCGGGAGGCGGAGTCGGCTGCGGCGCGGCCCGGAGGGACCCGTGGCTCCTGGGACGGGGAGGCCATGCAGCCGTCAAGAGGAGGTCGACAGATCGGAGGGCGAGCTGTCTGAACCCGATGCGGGGGTGACAGCTGGCCGCTCTGCAGCGATGGAGTCGGGAAGCGCGGCTGATGGGACATCTCCTGGGCAGCCTGGTGAGTTCCCTATTTTATTCTCTTCTGCGCTTCGGGACCTGTTGGGGGGGGGGCGCGGCCTCGGCGGCGGAGAGAGGGTGTGGGCGTTCCCCGCGTCAGGTTTAGGGGGGGGTCTCGGCGATTTGATGTTCGGCCTGAGGGATTTGTTGCGGCGTTTTGAGCAGGGTGAGGGTAGGGCCCCTGGGCCTGCTTCGGCGTGGCTTCCGCCGCCGGGTGTCGGGGTCCTAGAGCAGGAGGGGGGGGACAGGCGGAGCTCGGGGGTTTCTCCCCCTACTGGTTCTGCGCCAGGGGTGGTTACAGCGGAAACAGGTGCTCTGGTTTCCGGGGTGGTAGAGGGGGGTGCTGGGGTCTCCGGGACAGTAGGCGTGGCGGACTCGGCCAAGGGTGAGATATATGTCTGTTTTGAGGGCCCTTTGGGTGCGCACTTGCCGTCGGAGGTTCGGGAGCGGATTTGGAGAGGGGAGTATGTGGACATTTTCACGCTCTTGCCTTTGGAGCGTTTTCCGTTAGATGGGTCGTGGGTTGACGAGGGTAGGCGTGAGGACGCTGAGAAGCGGCGTTTTCGTTTTATCCCGCGGACATTTGCAAATTGGATGCAGGCATTTGCGATCATGGCCAGTGTCATTGGGGAGAAGACTCCTGAGCATTGCTCAGCTCTCTTTTGTTACCTGGATGCCATTAGCGAGGCTAACAGGGTTTACGGTGGGACCGCATGGCTTCGATACGACGAGCAGTTTCGGCAGAGGCGGGCTGTTCGCCCTTCATTGTGTTGGGACCATAAGGACATAGGCCTTTGGATGCGCCTCATGACTCCCGTGCGGGCTCCCGGTTCGTTTTTTCAGGGTGGGGTCGGTGGTTCATTCTCCCCAGGACAATCGGCCTCAAAGCGTAGGGGTGTATGTTGGCAGTTCCAAGAGGGCGCGTGTCGTTTCGGGGGGTCCTGCCGTTTCAAACATGAGTGTTCAGGTTGCGGCGGCTCCCATCCTTTGTCGCGCTGTTTCAAGCGGGGTAGAGGCCTGCCCGGAGAGCATGCGAGTAAGAGGGACAACTCCGGTGAAAGTGGAAAGGATGCGGCCTTTCCTAAATAGATATCCGGATCGAGCAGCCGCCGGGTTGCTGTTGGCGGGGTTTTCGGAGGGTTTTCGTATTCCGTGTAGTTTGACTTCGATCCCCCCTTTAGCTCGCAACTTACGGTCGGCGGTGCAGCATGCTGAGGTGGTTTCGGCGAAGTTGAGTAAGGAAGTGGGGCTGGGACGTATGGGCGGGCCGTTTTCTTGCGCTCCGTTTTCAGATCTGGTGGTTTCACCCTTGGGGGTGGTGCCCAAGAAGGAGCCGAATTCGTTCAGGTTGATTCATCACCTGTCTTTCCCCAAAGGGGGGTCGGTTAATGACGCCATCGATCCGCAGTCCTGTTCGGTGTCTTACACATCGTTTGATGCGGCAGTTTTCTGGGTTCGTCGTTATGGGCGCGGTTCGCTTATGGCGAAGTCAGATATTGAGTCCGCATTTCGCTTGTTGCCGGTACATCCGGATAGTTTTCGTTTTCTGGGGTGCCATTGGCAGGGCTCGTTTTACGTTGACAAGTGCCTTCCCATGGGGTGTTCGATCTCTTGCGCTTTGTTTGAGCGGTTCAGTTCGTTCTCTGGAGTGGGTGGTGTGGGATGTCTCCGGGATAAATTCGGTCATCCATTATTTGGATGATTTTCTTTGCGTGGGTCCGCCCGCTTCCAGGGTTTGCGCGGTTTTGTTGGCTACGTTGCAACACGTTGCTGACCGTTTCGGGATTCCATTGGCTTTGGACAAGACTGAGGGCCCAGCTTCAGTGATGACTTTTCTGGGCATCGTTTTGGATTCGGATGCCATGGAGTGCCGGCTGCCAGGGGACAAAAATTGTTAGCCCTACAAGGGGAAATTCGTGGGGTGCTGGGCAAGCGGAAAATTCAGCTACGAGCCGTGCAGTCGTTGCTGGGTAAGCTGAACTTCGCTTGTCGTATCCTGCCGATGGGGCGAGTATTTTGCCGACGGCTGGCGGCGGCGACGGCGGGTATTATTTCCCCTTTGCATTTCATTCGTTTAACTAGGGAACATCGGGAGGACTTGAGGATTTGGCATACCTTTTTGGATGATTTTAACGGACGGGCGCTGTGGATGTCGGGACCAGTCAGTAATTTTGACCTAGAATTGTTCACGGATGCGGCGGCTTCGGGGGATATGGGGCCTTTTTTAAGGGGGGCGGTGGAGTGCGGCTCCGTGGCCTTCTTCTTGGGCTGCGGCGGGTTTCCTTAGTAACCTGGTGCTGTTGGAATTTTTTCCGGTGGTATTGGCGGTTGAGGTTTGGGGTGAACATTTTAGGAATCAGAGGGTTCGTTTTCATTGCGACAACTTGGGGGTGGTCCAGGTCATCAACCGGGTCTCGGCTTCCTCGCAACCAGTGGTTGGCTTGCTTCGCCATTTAGTGTTGCGTTGCCTGCAGCTGAACGTTTTTCTCCATGCTGTGCATCTCCCTGGGGTTGATAACATCTTGGCTGACGCTTTGTCTCGTTTTCAGTGGGACAAATTCCGAGAGTTGGCGCCGGCGGCGAAGCAACACGGGGTTCCTTGTCCCGACTGGCTGTGGGAGATTGCCTTGGGGTCGTTGCAGGTTGGATCCAGAGGTTGGTGAGTGAGGCGACATGGTCGGCATACTCGAAGGTCTGGCGAGAGTGGCGGGATTTGTTACAACAGATCGAGATAGATCCGTGGGGCCCGGAGGTAGGGGTGGCGGTTTTGTATTATTTGGCAAGGAACTTGGAACGGGGGGTGTCGGCTGCTGCGGTGGATAGGCGGTTG